TACCATTGGAAAATGCTTGTCATTCCTCTGTAGGATCTGGTCCCCTCTGGACCCTCATTATTTCCTTCACCTGCTCCCCACACCGACCAAACTGTGCAGCTCTGCAACTGCATCCTGGCCCATCCTCACCCTTTTGCCCCCAACCCTCACCTCCTTGTACCCCCATATGTTTTTTCCAATAAAAAAAAAGATAATGAAATGCCTAGTTTTTATAGTATCCTAAGGCAAAAACTCAGAATTGCTTTTAGTTTTTAAACGTTAAAAGTTCAGGATTTTAAAAAAAAAGTTCAGGATTATAGTTTACCTCTTATGTATGGGGTAAAAGGGATGGAAGCTTGAATACAGATACTAACCTTCTAGAAGCAAGTAAATTGCATTTGCTTTTGGATAAAACATCCTCTTGAACCATTCACAGAGGACAAGACAAGACTAGCTAGGGAGCACCGGTGGCCTACCAGTAAGAAGCTGCACTGCAATTCCAAATTCATATGGCTTGAATCCACCAGCTGCTCTGTGGGAGAAAGATGAGCAATCTCCTCCCATGTGATTAACAGTCTCGAAAAATCCGCTGGAGGGTCAGCTATGGGTCAGTTCTGATTTGATGGTATACAATAACAAAATCTGGTGATACAGACCTGGGGAAAACCTCAGCTACACAACAGTGTCAAAAGGAACAGAGGGCAAAATCACTAAAAAAAGGGGGCAGGAGTCATGCTGGTTTAGACAAAATAACTAGAGGGACAAAGATCTATAAAGGGAATTTTAAAAAAAGGTAAGGAAAAATATATAAAACTCTCCACTGAAACATAATGAATATGAACAAAAAATATAACAAGGAAATTAAGGAAAGGTGCTTTGCACTACTGTATAAATTAGGAAGAAAGTACAGAAGCACCATGAGTTAAATAAACAGGCACTTCTCTCCCAGACACTGAAACCACTATGTACTATATGTCTTCCAAGCATCCTGAAAAATCTACAACCAGGAGAGGATAAAATAGATGATTGGGACCTTCTAAGAATCAAATCCCTATGCACATCCAAAAACTTCTCCAACAGGGTAAAAAGGGAAGCCACAGACTGGAAAAAAATATTTGATAATGACATGTCCGACAAGGGACTTATATCTAGAATTTATAAAATACTTGAGCACCACAATAAGATAAACAACACAATTGAAAAATGGGCACAGGATATGAACAGACACTTCACCAAGGAAGATATTCAGATGGCAAACAAGTACATGAAGAAATGTTCAAAATCCCTAACTCTAAGAGAGATGCAAATCAAAACAACTATGAGATATAATCTCACCCCAATAAGAACAGCAAAATTTAACAGAGCAGCAAAGAACAAATAAATGCTAGTGAGGTTGCAGAGAAACTGGAACCCTTACTCACTGT